ACAGCGGGACAAATAACAGAACCTCGGTCTTTGGAGGAAGGTTAAGATCAACTCCAGGAGAAGTTTTCATACGACGAAGCATGATCAATTCCAAAAGCCGTCGGGAGTCGTCCAGAACGGTATTAGAGTACTGGCCCTTTGACAGGTTGAATGATGTATCAAATAGATGATTGGTCTTGTCGATGAAGACTTCAGGGTAGAGCCAGTGCAGGAGCGACCATAACTCAGAGAGGTTGTTTTGAAGTGGGGTACCAGTCAAGATCAAGCGGTACTCAGCCTTGAGCCCCTGGAGGGCCTTCGAGGTAAGACTGGCATGGTTCTTGACTGTGTGGCCCTCATCAAGAACGACATATCTCCAGACAAAAGCAGTCTTGAACCAGGATTGTTCAGCCTTGTAGCAGTCGTAAGTCGTAATAACCACATCAACGCCGACGTCATCCTCGTCTTCCGAATCGGTATCCAAGGAGATGATTTTGCCAACATTCTTGCGTGATTTCATCTTCTGCTTCGCCTGCGCAGTCAGGTTGCCATACATATCGATTTCACCAACCACAATCTTCTTCAAGCGTTGACGTTCACCTATAGGTCCATGGAATCGAATTGCCTTCAATCCTGGAGCCCACTTCTTGACCTCGGACATCCAACTGCTCAAAACAGAAAGAGGACAGACTACCAAGAATGGTCGTTGCAGCCTACCCGTACCAGTCTTTGGGTCATTCTCCTTCAGATGTTGTATAAGAGAAATCGTCTGCAGTGTTTTGCCGAGTCCCATTTCGTCACCTAGAATGCCAGACAGACCCTGAACTGTTAGTTACCGTCGGAAATCATGGGGAGAAAACGCATACATTACGATGCAAATACATCATGAAAGACAGACCAGACAACTGATATGGTTTCATTGTGGCCTTAATTCCCTTAGGCTGTGTCTCGATCTCCTCGTATGGTGTGATTGTAGGGAGCTGAGCAATTTCCTCAGGGGTCATCTGCTCATGCTTCTCAACCAGCTTCTTGACATAGTTGTGCTGAGGAGGCAAGAGAGGCAGGAACAAATCCTTCTTCTCCACGAAGAATCGATTCCGGTATGCCGCAGTCTTACTTGCAATCTCCTGTCGAATCTCGGTTCTCTTGCTGACCACAGGTGTGAGGTTCACGCCCGCCAGATCGGCAATTGGGTCTCGACCGCCCTTCTTCGGACGAGATCTCTTGGGGGTGGTATTCTCGATGTTCTCCAAAGCCCTCAACGACATATTCGGCTTGCGGACTCGAAGGCGCGAGCGACCACTGGGTGCGTATTCGATCTCAGTCTCATCCGGCTGTTGAACAATTATAGTATCATTATTGTCTCCCTCCAAATCGATATATTCTGGAACCTTTCGATCGGGTGAAGAGTCGAAGGAAGGGTACGACGTAGCAGATTCGGTGTATGTAGGCTGGACTCTGGCAGCCTTCTGAGGGCTACGGTTGATCTGGTCCATCTTGTGTACTGTGCTTACGCCCGGGAGGAATTTCGACAGAAGGCTTGACGCAGCAGATCGCGAAGGAGGTGTTGGTTGCTCATCTGGTAAGGTATACTCTTCGAGTGTTGCAGGGCGCGGTGAGGTGAATGTCTGCTGGTTGCGATTGGAATAGTCTTGAGCAGGCGAGGTGGGAGCGAAGGGCTGCTGGTCGTGAAAGGGATGGCTTTGGGTCGCAGGTTGCAGATCGAGGGTTTGCTGACCGCGAAAGGAGTGCTCTTGAGTGGGATGTCGGGAAGCGAATGTTTGTTGATCGGGGATTGTGAAGTCTTGCTGAGGAGTGTGGGGTGCGAGGCCAGACCAGGAGTATTCGGGTGCTGGTGGTCGCAGTATAGATGCAAGGGAGGGTTGATCTGGTATGGAGTGTTTAGGAGCATCAGGGTAGTCGTAATTAGGGGCCTGCATCGTGAAGAGACTCCGGGGTTGCGCTGGAATGGAGTTCTCGTTGTTGGTTGCGGCTGGAGGGAGGTGAGGCAGCGAGATGAGATCAGGACAACGCGCGCGCGACAGGAACAAAGTCACCGGCCGGAATTTCCATTGATCCACCAAAACTGATGGGTTGTAGTTTGGGTATGCTATTTCTCAAAAATTGTTTGCGACAATGGGGTGGATGCGCAGTTCGCGAATTCAAGGTGATTGTTGAAGCCGAAAGGGAATGGCAATCAGTAAGAGTTTCTAATCTCACTTTTACTTTCACTTGGCTGATTTAGACCGAGCGCGCGATTCGCGTACGCGAGCTGAGTCCCTAACTTGGGGGGCAAACAGGGCTTGATATCGGTTTGCTTCAAGGGTAAGATGTCATATTGGGAGTTCTTCTTTCTAGAGTTGTCATAAATAAATATTAGCAAATGATGTTTGCTTCAGAAATCTTCTACGCCCCTGTTCCGAGCCATCTGTAAATTTAATGATGGGAGTTGGCTTCCGCGTCGGCGCATGAAATCGATTCTTATCCATTGGCTGTCGCTCTTCCGGTCCCTGCAGTAGTTTGCGATAAGGATGATATAAAAAGAGGCTAAGCTACCCCGGGGTTTCAGTTAACGCTAGTAATAGTGGGAGAAAACTGTGCAATTAATATACGAGGGTTTTTATTATACTTTTTTGCATATTTTTTTACTCGATTTATTATTAGTGTTAATTTTGTGATTATTAATTGATTTTCAAAACGTTAAGTGATAACAAGATCTAAGAGTTTTATTACAAAATTTTGAATGAAGGGAATTTAAAGGAAGCGAATATTTTTGATCCAAAGAATAGCTACAACTTTAAATTGGATATTAAGAAGAATCGCAAGTCTTGGTGTATTTGGTTATTGTTGGTCCACAGGCCCTTGCAAGAACGTACTTTCTCTAGGACCAAGGATTGGGCTGGGACCAGGAGGTCATATCCCTGCCAGGCTGGTGTCGGTGAGGGTTCGTACTGGGTTCGGTGGCTTTCCGAGCCCCTATATATACTAGCTATCCTCACGCTCTCTTCAATAGGACACAGATTTTACAACCCATACTTTGAACTCTGTCACCATACTCGCATTGGAATATATTCACACATGCGGCGTGGTACATGAACCGGTACTGCACCGACAGTTATTCCAAACGAACAGTCAGTGACGTATCTTAAGCCTTGTCAAAAGCACCCCAGTTGCATAACTACACTAGCCAAGAGAGCGTTGTAAGACACATGTGGGAGTTATCTAGAGCTAACCCGGTAAGATCTTACGAACAAAACAAGAAGTTAAGGAGAAAAAGAAAAAGATGTTAGCTCCTTACATACGGACAGAATAGCCTTTGGAACCTTCCAGTACTTGTCAGATTGGATCTGACTCGGTAACCCCTGAATCCCCAGAATCACTGACTCGCCATATTGCCCAAATCCACCTCCGTTCACGCATCTCTTTCGTCATCCAAAACGCGGTCAGCGCCTGGTCAAAGTCTCCGTTCTCTTTCAGAACTTGGGCTGCATCCTCAATCTTGCGCTGGTCTGAAACACTCCACGAGGAGCGTTCCTTGCACCAAATGAACAGCTCACCAAGTGCGAATGCATCGCTTTTATATTCAGGTGCCACATCACCAAAATCTACCAAGACCAGACGATTTTATACCTGATATCCTTCCACAGCATTTACTTCATGAGATTTTTTAAGTGTATTCCTCTCATTGATATCGCCATATACAACTCCAAGTTACACCAGTTCACGAACACTACGAGCCAGATCTCGCAATTGTCCTCTCGTGATCTCAAGGTCTTTGGAACTAGATGTGGAAGCAGTCGAGTTTGGCCCGGAGACGGACAACGATTCCAGACTAGGACCGCCGAAAGGCATCAGAATGCCCATAACCTCGCTATTGACGTCCTGCTCAATGACAACAATAGCTAAAAATTGGTATAGCATTAAATCGATGCTCCTTGAGCTGGTTGGCGTCTTCATTGGACAGGCAGTGAAGATCCGGAACTTCCAGCAATCTTTCCCTGCTCTTGATTTCTCGGTCGATAGCTTTGATGTCGCAGTCGAACTCGATCCGTTTGAATGCGCAGTCTTGATCATTCCAACGGCATTTATCGACAGCACGGCCTAAGGAGACTTTGTCTACTAAGCGATCAAAAGAAGTAACAGGGATAACTGTTTTCCCCTCGGAAGAGTATTGTAACTTTTCACGGATCGGTCTGGCAATGGCGTGATCAGGCCTTGTGTCGAACTTCAAGGAACCGTCCACTGTCGCGTTTATAACGTTGAATGGGGTTTGCTTCCCCGAATCGTGGTAATATGTTGAAATGTGGTTTTCAACGGTATCTGCCATTCACTCCTCATCGTAGGCACCCGAGTTGACGTTGATCTGATACCAGCGGCGGTTTGCGAGATCATATGCTTGCCCTGAGCAGCAAACTCCTGGAGTAATAATACCACTGTAGATGACGACTTCTGGCTCATGCCAAATGCGATTCGACTCCATCTTTCCAAGATGACACATTGGCAGCAGTCCGATGCAGTCGCTTTGACGTGTGTAATGATGGTGCGGTCCCTACGTGCATGCCCTTACTCTGTAATTGGAGGGAAGAACACGGAGATGGAGAGCAACTTGTTCTCATTCAGCTCCCCTAACCTCCTCGCCCATCCTCTCTCCTGGGGACAATGCGTTGAAAGGTAGAAGGTGGAAGGGGAATGGTAGAGATCGAATAATGAAAATAATAATTCAATTCAATGATCCGTTCCCTTTCCACCCATCTTTCCTCAGCGGTCTCCTCTGTGGAACTTGTTGACTTCATTCACTTGTTCGGACAAACAGACTTCAGCTGGGGCTGCTTGGCTAGTAGCATTCCTCCACTTAGGGTTCGCTTAACGGATCACAAAAAAGCGAAATATAGGTAGTAAGTAGCAACCCAGCAAGACGAAACACCTCGAGCGTCCACAAGCCTCAAGCTTCTCAGGCTCTTTCTCACGCAGGCAAAAAGATCAAAAATATGAGTCCAACATTCAAGGTTGGAGGTCGGATCAAGTCCCGAAGGTGGTTCGAACACCTGACCTGAAGATATTTTGCGGTGTGACTGCAATCTTCCGCTCTACCACTGAGCTGCAGATTGAGTTAGTGAGTTGAAGATGGCCAATTTCAGAATGAAGATGTGCTTACCTATCGAGACTGTTTGTTGCTGTTTGATGCACGTTTCTTCGCTATTTGATTATATGTAAGAGTCAAAAAATTCGAACACCCGGCTTCGTTTGATTGGTGAAGCCTGGGGATAGGCTGCGGGGCATGCCTGAAAGTGGACTTGGGGACCAACCACCAAGACGAATTATGTAACAATCTGTCCTCCCAAACCAAACCAAACGAAACATTGTCTCTACTGCCGAGGAAAGTACCTTATCTGGTAAGGGGCTCAACTTGTCATTAGCTGGGAGTCTCGGTTATTAGCAATATCTGGCCTACATTCCCATGGAAACTTCCTGTACTTGTACAGTGGATCACTGCCTGTATTTTCCACCTTGAAAAGAAGGAATGCCGGGATGAAGGATCCTGGAGATCTGCTCACAACTGGCTTTGCAAGTTATCGAAATGCCATGCTCCCACTGTCGGTTAGACGAAAGTTATGGCCGGCATTTCACTTCCAAGAATCTAAATAAGTTGGTTAGACATTTTGGTACTAATTCTTTTTTTGTGCATCAACCTTCGATCAAGTCCAAAAGAAAAATCGATCCGCACAAACATTCTACTCTTTTAAATACAGTCTGAATATTCACTAACTGTCCACTCAGCCGCTCGGAAACTCAAACTTCCATCTTCCAGCTAGTCTGATATTCCATCGACATTACCAAATATTTTTACAATTCGCGCAGCATCCTGTAAGTCGTTGGTTGTTTACAGCTTCCCCCCTCGAGCGAAAGTGAACAAATTCCTCTCATCCTCCCCCACGGCCACCCACCCACTTCTTCCGACCGGCTCCCTCGAAGTGCTGGAAAGCTGCTGCAAAGTGATATCGTCGCCATGATTCGCAAGGAATCGATGGCCATTACTTTTCAATCGCCCGACAATATGACCCCGCAGCGGTGTACCATCTCGCTCAAATTCAACCGTATATGTCTGCCACATTCAGTAAAACACCTAAAGAGAACGGGATTCCTACCTCAATAACAGCTTCGCCTTCAGCATTTTCGTCAACTTCGGGTACATGACCATCTTCCAGAAGTTCAGGGAGAGGGTTGCGATCGGGATACGGAGAGGTTCGAGGCTGTGATGAGAGGCATACGACGTATTGGTAAGTCACCATTCCACCATTTGCAAGTACTAAACCTTTCCGAGCCTCTCCTTTCCTTATCTTTCGAACCATTTCAGTCAGAGCCTGATATCGTTAGCCGTTTGAATTTAAGGCGGCTCGGCTATACTCACATGCATCGAATAATTATTCCCCGCTCCACCAAAAGATGTTAGCCCGCCCAGAAGAGTGATTGTTTTCGTCTGCTTTGTCAAAGGAAATCCAAGGTGCCGACATGCTAGTTTAGGTACAATTGGAAAACAGGAATAGAAGTCGAAGATGTCAATCTCGTCTTTCGTTACACCCGAGATCCGCAAACCCTCGTCTAATGACCTTGAGATAGCTGGACTCGAATGGAAATTCGGTCGTTTCCAAACTGCGATCGTCAGCAAAAACTTTCAATATGGAAGGTTATTTACAGTCCATAGCATCGCTTGAGCCAGCTCCTCCCAGCGGGTATATCCATTTGCTCTCCGGAATTCCGATTTCCTTTGCATACTCAGTCGAAGTCAAAATACAGGACCCGGCCAAATTAATGTTATTGAATGCATTCATCAACAGTGGATCTAGACAATCAGCAAGATTAACGAACTGATACTCCTCATACTTACATGGAAAGCAAATCATTCTGTTCTTTTCAGACACAGTCCCAATGACATCTTTGGTTGCAGCCGGTTTTCCATAATTCCAAGCGTGGGGATTCCCTTCAGCCACTTTTGCAAAATCGGCATACAGCTCTGCAGATTCATTATTGTTATCCTGAATAGACTGGCCCCTGTGAGCTCTGAAACCATTCTCATAAAGTGGATAAACGTGGATGGGCAGCCCGACAGAGTGAAATGTACCGATGCCTTCTCGGTTAGCCGAGCCCAAACCTGGGACACCCAAACTCACTTTCTTTCATTCTCGAAACGTCAGAAGTTGACACAGATCTCACGCTCTCATCGGCAACTGTCCATGGGGCAGACTTTCCAGCTGCAGCACATGCACCCACTTTCCGAATTTAGCATTCCCCCACGAGATGCACTCTATCCAGTCGACTTACATGATGCCAAAGCTTCCCCGCCTGTTATGATTGCGACCTTACTCTCCCGAAACGAGATCCTCCTTGCGGCTTCGTCAAAAAACTTAGCTGGAGCGTCACCTCCGTGGTGGCTAAGTCCTTTATATTTTGGTTTGACTCCGAGATTCTCAGAGATCAGTCCCGGCAAGTCTGAGTAATTCCATGACCAGGTGTTGACAACTCCCACGCTATCAATGCTGGCTTGGAAGTCTTTGGCCGCTGAGGACGATAGGCCGGTATCTTTGATAGCATATTGAATGGCTTGAAGCATCAACTTCATAGGCTCAATGGCGTCTTCCACTTTTTGAGACCGATTCTTAACATCGCCAACTCCAACAACAATTGGGACCGCTCTTCCAGAAGTCATGTTGACATCAGTGCCTGAGACAGTATGAAACAAAGTTTAATAAATATGGCTATTTCAAGCTTCGAGATAGTGGAGGATGGTGAAGATATCTGCTCAATGGACAGAGCCGTTCGGTCTGCTCTACCAAGTTTGAGTTTGCCGGCCATTGTTGATCTGCGGGCCATGATGCCTCGGCATGTGGAGTGCGGGGATAAACACATCCGGCGGTCCCAGCAGGTGATTAAAAGTTTGCCAAAATCGGTAGTCCATTTGATTTGAAAGGTGCTGGTAGTGATGAGTTACTATCTGGATGAGGAATCATTAGAGATGCAAGTAATCGTCGCCAAACTTTTTGCGGAGTTGACTTCGGCAAATTCAAGAGGCCCCACACAAGGACGACTTGATGACATTCACTTCAGTAAGGAGCTCGATAGTAAGATAATCCTACATTTCGGAAAGAAAACGAAATAGTGGACAATTGAGAAGTCAAAGCCAGCCAGATATCACGGAGATGAATTTACCTGTTGGATGAGGTGGGTGTTCCTGTCTTGTTCCGTGCTTGGTCTTACCTTTTGACTTCACATGACTCCTTCCAGCGCTGTGTTTCTTGTTTCTTGTTTCTTTCGGCCCATTCTCTTATGGCGGGGTTGAAGGATCTTAGGAAAGGTCTAGATATTCGACTTCAGCCAGAAGTTTTTCTGCGCTTTCAAGCATTTTCGATTTAAGTTCTTACATGTTTCTCCCGCCGTTTCCCTCATATCTGCTCACTTGGGTCTCTGTCCGCGGCCGCAGTTGCTGTCGTCAGAAGTTCAAAACCGACTATGGCCGTGACACAACTTGGCAGGTATGGTAATGCTTTTCAATTGGAAGGGATGAACAACTTATACTGTTCAGATCCATGATAGTTCCGCCAAGATAATTCTGCGACAAGTTCTGTCTGACGACGCGTGTTCCACAATCTCATCACGGCAAGCGGACATTTTTATCGGTCCGTCAATACCTAACAAGCTTTGCAATGATCAGATAAGAGATCGACAGTGGAATAAGGCATTAACTCTTGTCTTAGTCAAGGCATCTGAATGGCTTCAACATGAATTATGCTTGTGTCAAGCATTCAAGTGTAGCTTGATACTCTGGGAAACGATCACTTGGTGATCTTTGCGCGTCCACGCCATCTCGAAACAGGTGTTAAGCCTGTTTCGCTAGTTCTCTAGAAAAGTATACGGGAAGGTGAACACGCAAAAAAGGTCTGCCACTGAGACTGAATCATCAAATGTTTGTTCATCCCCAGACCGGCAGTGTGATTATGGTTGCGGGATGTGGTCCCGGTCTCGAGAAGCTCCACCAGACCCGCTGTTCATGCTTCATAAGCCTATATCATATCCAGCCTTACGTCCACAAACCCAGCAGAAAACCTGGGGTGCTGGCTACCTGGACTCTCTGAGCAATCCATCCTCGTCAAACTCACTCTCGGCCTCCTGGTGAGAGCCGCAACAACAATTACATCTTCGAGATGGCACAGAGAACTGGAAATGAAGTTTTGGAGGAGAAGCTCGGTCGTGTTCAGCTTCGAACGGAGTCTGGAGAGATCATCTTGGTCCCCAAGCCCTCCAGCGACCCAAATGACCCTCTTAACTGGTAAGCTCCACAGCATCTCAACCCTCAGAATCACGAGCTCACATCCACAGGTCTCAACCTTTCAAGTACTACATTGCCATTGTCACTTGTGCGGGGATGCTCATGACGACGTTTCTGGCTGCTGGTCCAACCGTCGCACTGGTGGAAATTGCTTTAGACTTTGCCGGTGGTGACCCGTCGAAGTTGGGAGAAGTGATTCCTCAAGTGGCCTACTTTTTCACTGCCTCTGCCTTGACTCAAGGAACCGGGAATCTCATTTGGCAACCGCTCATCAATAAATATGGTCGCCGTCCAATGTACATCATCTCATTCTCGGGTTATCTTGGCACAGCAATATGGTCAGGAGTGACGATCAATTATACTAGCGAATTGATTGCTAGAATTCTCCTTGGTTTCTTTTCGGGAGCTGGAGAATGTCTTGGGCCGGGGACTATTTCCGACTTATTCTTTCTTCATGAACGAGGATCAATGATGGCGTAAGCACTGTATTCGTGTCTCGAGCCTACTGCTAACTCTTTTTCAGTCTATACAGTTTTGCTGTGGGATCTGGGGTTTCTATCGGAATCATCGTCAGTGGTTTCATCGTCTTGAAGAATTCTTGGCAGATGATTTACTTTGTCGGAGCTGCTATGATTGGAGCACTGCTGATCCTTATCATATTCACGATGCCCGAGACTTCGTACAATCGATCCTACGATGACTTGAAAAGTGAAGATATATTCGAGAGCGAGAAGGCGGATTACCGACTCTCTCTTTCCATCATTCTTGATGATGCTGAGA